TCAGTAAGTTTCGAGTTCTTATTCTTGTCAGAATGTCGCTTTAAATAGGTGTTGCTTAACAATAACTGTTTCTTCTCCTGCATTTGTTCTGTTATCAGGATCTGTTGCAACCTCTCCTCCCCATGTGAAAAAAGGGATGGTTCATCAAGTCATATACCTTTATATAACTCTTGCATGTCTGCTGCAGTCCTTCATACAGGTGATCTGAATAATAGTGACAAACTTCACAGTACTTCTTCTAGGCAGCTGTTGTGCTAAACTATTGTGTTTTAGATCAGATATTTAAAAGTGTTTAGTGTTGTTATTAGAAACAAACTGGGTTTAATATTAAATTTGCTTTTAGCTAATCAAAATGTATTTGACTATCCAATGTATAAATACAGTATATATTTATATACACATATATATACATATAGTAAAGATATGTATAAAATAGTCCTGGATGATCCCAAATTGCACGTGTAGAGGGTCTTTTTTCTATTAGAAAATGAAAAGCTTATGTAAAGAGTGGCAGAACAGAAATGACTATCCAACGTATTTGTGAGCTTCTACCCAGAGCAAAAGCAGCATGCAGAATTAGAAGCAATTAAAATTGCTAGTAGTTCTTAACTGCAGTATTGTTAGTTGAACTCTTTAATAGGATATTTGTAAACAACCATCTGAGAAGACTTCTGCCAATGTGCTGAATCATTGTTACTTTTCTAAGATAACTGGTAAATATATTGTTAAAAAATTAAATCCTACCAACTTTTGACACTGAATGATGCTTATTTTTTTTGTTACATGTATATCTGATAAAAGCCACATTAATAACAGATAATTACCTGATGCTCTGTTCATCCCGGTGCTGTAATCAGGAAATGGATTGGGACCAGTTTGATTTGAACCCGAAAGTAATTGCTGCCCTTAAGAAAGGTAACTTAATTTGTCAGTATCTCACTAACAGATCTGTCACCATAGTGTCTTCCTTTATGTGATTGTGTGCTTGTGGGTATAAGCATATAGATTTACACTAACATTTTAGAACTGTAATTAGGTATTTCATAAGCAAGTTTTTTGAGTAAGTAGAAGTGATGACTTTTGCCTGTGCTCCAATAATTGTTTTCCAAACTTGTAGCATGTGTTGACACATTCAAAGTAAGTGTTGTCTGCCCAGCTTACAAGAATGCAGGGTAGATAAACTTTAAGTGAATGAGTAGTAGAAAGTGGGAAAACTTTTACTTTTGTGCATAAGACTGTAATCCAACCAAAAGTATTTATAAAAATTCTTCTAATTTCAGCTGACATAAAATCAATAAAAGAGATTTTAAATTTTTCTGGAGCAGACTTGCAAAGACTGATGAAACTGTCCAGTGCAGATATACAGTGCTTGTTGAAAACAGTCTCTCACATGCTGAGGAGAAACAGTATGCTTACAGGTAATACAGTCAATACAAAAAAAAGTGTTTTATTTAAATCTTAAAATACTGTCACTGGGAGAAAATACGGTTTTGACTCCTTATTAACACAGTAATGTGATTCTGACAATGAAAAGGCAAGTCTTTTGTTCTGCTGTAGTGAATTATTTAACTGTCTAAGGACAGCTCCTCTAAGACCTTGAAGGTAGATGGAAGTGAATGGGTGTCATTCTTCAGGATGAAGTATGCTTGAAACAGGACAAAATGATTCTTCAGTCTGAAAAACTTGATTAGAGGAGCAAAATATTTCCTTTTCCTTTCTCTCTGTCTCTCACTATTTTTCTTTTGAGCAAAGATAAGTTGAAAAATTTATATGATAAATCAGTTTATGTAGTTTTTAATCTGATGTAAACACTTCATTCCAAACGAAGCAGGACCTAAGAGCTCCTGCACAAATGCTTCATGGCAGCTCTGTACTTAAAATTTACTTTCTTGTGATTTGCATATATCTTCAGGCCTTGGCCAGATGCCTGCTAGGCTGTTGCATAGTCTCCTATAACTTGCCATTTCCATAACTGCTGTGCTTGAATCTTGCTGGCAATATTTTCCCAGAGTGCAGCTTTCTGTAGAGACTCCTTAGATGCAGAGAAAGGAAAAAATGTTTGAGATGAGGAAAGAGCTCAGTGTAAACAATCAGGTTTTGAACAGGCATTCAGTTAGTAGGCCCTGTGGGGAAGAGAAGGCTGAATTAGAAAAATTTCCCATCAACAAAGAAAGCATCCCTTGTAGATATAAACCTGGTATACAGCCTCTATTTTGTATTGTTGTGTGTTAGAAAGATACTAAATGGAACTCTTTTTTTTTTTTTTTCTTCCTCTCTTTTCAATTATTTAAAAAAAAATTCCAAAATACTGCAGCACTTCAGCTCTACCAAGATAAAGATCATCTCACCTCCCAACACCAGAAGTTAAGCCTAGGATGTTCAGTGCTAGACAACTTGTTAAAGGGTGGCATTCCTTTAGTGGGAATCACAGAACTTGCTGGCGAAAGTTCTGCTGGGAAGACTCAGATTAGTTTACAGCTGTGCCTTTGTGTGCAGTATCCTTACAAATATGGTGGATTAGAGTCTGGTAAGTACTGAAATGTAAATACTGATTAATTTGCCATTTGGAGGAATATACTGTCTTTAAGAACATCATCAGTGCATTGAAGTAGATGCACGTAATCAGTCCACATCTTCCCCTTCTGCAATAGCTTTAGTAGTAAGCTAGTTAGCTAGTAATGCATCTCTAGAGACAGAAAAGCATGCTGTGCACATGCCCTGTGTCCTGACGTAATTTAATAGAAAATTCCTATTGGCCGTCGTTTACTGCCTGCCACTGTGGGTTAAACTAGACACATGCAAACAAGATATGAAAGGCATTGCTGTCATAACTACCTATTGACTCCTCAGGTAACAACAGCAAAACAGCTTGTCAGATAATTTTCCACAAACATCTTGGGTATATGGTATATATTCCCTAGTTGGCAACTTCAAATTTCAAATAATATTTAGTTTGATAACAATAATTATAGTGATTTACTGAGTAAAATTGATGGAAATATGATTGAAGAAAGTTAACATTGTTTTGTACCAGCGATTTTCCTGGGTTTGCCAAAGTATACAGGTTTATTCTTTGATTTGAATATGTTTTTTTAACTGTCGATCTTGTTAATCTAACTCCTAGTATTATTGGGGTTTTTTTAATATTCTGGGAGGAAGCTTGTGTCACTTCTGAGAATTCGATGTCCTAGTAGTCTGCCCTAGCTGTGTTTTGGATGTCATCTTCCTCTTCCTTCCATGCAGCACTGGGTTTAATTTGGCAGCTCAGTGGTTTGTTATAGGGAAACTTAATTATTTCTTGCACTATATCCACCCGTGTGGAAAAATCATGGAATATTCAAAGGAAGATCTTGCTTAAAGGGCTATAATTAGCCTGTAGCTTACCTTACTTTGCTTTAAGTTACGTCATTAATCAGAACAAAAGCAAATATATTTTGTGCAGTTCCTTCATGTGTTGCTGCTAGCTGCTGCAAATAGTTTGAATGCCAATACATTTTTATTCATGACCCAGCACTTCTCGCTATTTATGTTGAAAGAAAGGAACAAACCAGGACAGAGTACAGAAGACAGTGCCCAACATCCTAATGGCACTCTTGTTTCTTACACCAGACTACAGTCTTCCTTGTAGGGCTAAAAAATGGGAGGTCTTCGTTATTTGTGTTTGAAGATGATTCTTGTTTCTTACGCACCTGGCACTTGGTGCTATTAGCTTTGCTTTGTTGTGTCTGTGTTCTCCATCTACCCACTTCTAAGTGTTTCAGGCAAGATGGGATAGAACGGCCATCATGTCAATGCTCCTATGAGAGAAATAGAGCATTTTGGAACAGCTGAGAGGACAGAACTTTCAATGATCTTGAAGATATAGAAGGCAGAAATATCCTGCTGCTGGAGTTGGAGAGCTAAGGGAGTGGTAGAATCCTAATTCTTGCAGTTCTTTACTCTCAGTTTGGTATCTTGCCATATGTTAGACTGCACATAGTCATAGCAGCAGATATTGTTTGCTTAGCACCTAGAAAATGAAACTTGATTTCTCTGCAGTCTATAAGTAAGCGTTGTCTTGAGTCTTTTATAAGAAATACAAGAATTAAAAGCTTATGTTATGTAAGAGGAGTTTTATTCTTTAGAAAACTGGAGCAGAGTAACAATGCTTAGTAACTATCACAGAAGTCTGGCACTACCAATAGAAGAGTAATCTCAGTGCTAAAACTTTGCTACTGATTTAAAATTATGATGGGTTATTTTTTTTTTTAGGAGAAGGGAATTTTCTAGCACTTAGCTGGTAATGTTGAAATACACTTCTTTAGACAGTATAGATTTATTGTGTATTTACTTCATTTGACTTAGTGCTAATCTTGTTTATGATTCTCAATGCTAGGAGGTTGGCAGCAAACAAAGAAAATAGGACATTCTTTGCCTCAAGCTTATGTTTCTGCCATTCTAAGAATGTCAGTTATGGTCAATTGCATGTTGGCTGAATTTATTTTATGTGCCCATATTCATAAGTAATAGATGAATATAATGAGACAAATTCATATCCGTATTAAAATTCTGAATTAGAAAAAAAAATGTTTCCTACTGATTCTTGGTAACAAGCTTGTTTGGTGCATGACAGATTATGTTCATAGGATTCAAAATTTGTCCTCCTTTGAGGGTGGGGTTTTTTTGTGATTTTTATTTTTGTTTGGTTTTGCAATGGTTTTTGGTCCACAACCAGCATAGCACTAGTATCAGCCTTAGTAAAGCATTGGGATTTGATGAAATAGCTGATTTCTGTTTGGTTTTTGTGGACCTATGAGGAAAGATACTTATATCATTACTGAGGACGACTGACTTCTTAAGGGCATCTCTCAGCTTCTTTCTCAAAAGTGATAACTGCCCTGACGCTTGACTACTTGTCAGTGGTGACTGCTTCCTAATAAACTGTAAATAGCACAATGCCATAGGCTTTTCTGTTTGTGTTGTACTAGTCTCCTCTTTTTATTTAGGTTATGACAATTCACTTATCTTTAAAGATATGTGAATATTAAGTGGTTTTGCTTCATAATTAAGGTCTTTAATATTAGAATATAGTTATTTGTCAGTCTCTTCTAGCCCTTGTAACTTTGCTGTGAAGCACCTCCTGTATTTTTAATGCACGGGCGTGTATTTTCCTCGATCAAGTGTTTCATTGTGGTTCAAACTGAAGAGCACAAACAAAATCTGAAGAGGCTTGATGAAGGTCCGGTAGGAGAAAGTGCTATTCTCATTGTACTGTGGAACTCAAATTTTAAGCCAAGGCAAAGCTCATCTGATATATTTTATGTGGTTTAACTGTCTTAAAGTTCAAGATGAAAGTTAGATAATTGTCTTGCGAAATGGGCAGCACTTAAAGGACAAAAGACTCACTGTAAGAGTTGTTCAGCATTGGAACAGGCTCCCCAGAGAGGTGGTGGATTCACCATCCCTGGAGGTGTTCAAAAAAGGATTAGATGTGGTGCTTCCAGACATGGTTTAGTGGGCATAGTGTAGAAGGTTAGACTTGATCTTTGGAGTCTCTTCCAACCATAATGATTCTATGATTCTCTAAAAAAAAATTGTCCCACTGTATGTTTTGGAGAAATCACAAATGGACCAATTATGTATTCAGAGTACAATATCTGCTGTAGTAGATTTAACTGCTGTCAAAGCAGCATTACAGCAGAGTAAAAGATTGGCAGGTGACTGTATGCTGGTATTTACAAAACTAAACCAAGGCAGGAAATAGTCTGTCTATGAAGTACAACAGTTCTTAAGAAGGAATTAATTTTCTTGATTTTTTTTTTTCAAGTGTTTCACTAAAATTAATCTGAAAACGTGTTCACTTGAACTTTAAAATTGCTATCATGATTTTACGAAGTGTGTATCTGTTGATTGGGAATTTTAAATCTAAGTTGCTGGACCAGTGGAGCAAAGAGGACCAGATTTTTTTCTTCTCTGGCTGTTCTTTTTTGCCTACAGGTATTACAGCTGTAGGATTACCTTGTTTGCCTCCATTTGTTTGTTCATCAGATATAAATGTGAAACTGGGCCACGATTGTGTATATGTTTGTAATACAGTAAGATTGCTTGATCATTTCATGCTCTTCTGCTTTTGCCTTGTGTTTGTTCCTATCACTGTTCTTGTTACTGTACTGAAATTATCTGCAAAGAAGATCTTTAGGAGAATTTTACGTTTCTTGTACTCCAGAGAAGTTAATTTTGGAAAAAAATTATTTCAGCAAGTTTCTCAGGTTTTCTGTTTCAAAATGTCTTGAATGTTGCAATAACTCTGGATCAAAACACAATTATCTAATCAATGAAGCACCACTCTATCTAGAAATGCAAATCTGCATTTGAAAAAACAACAAGCATGAAACCTCAAGTAATGGACATTCATCCTTTTGAAGTAAACCAAGGAGAGGACAAGGGACACACTGCTTAAGGCAGGTCTGATTTTTAGAAAGTGGATCATTTCTCTGTAAGCTGGTATTCATGGTAAAGAAATCTCCTGTCTTTCAGAATTAGGCAATATTGTGCAAAAGGCAGTCAGCTGTGAATAAGAATGGTAGTTGAGAAGTCCAGAATGTTTTACTTTAGGAACTGTTATCTCAACACAATTAAGTATAGCTTTTGTTAGTATGAAATTCAGAAACCACATGGGCCTAAGGAAGCTGCATATCTTGGTGGGTTTTCTTTATTTCTTTGTTTACTTTGTTTTGAATTTGCACCATTAGGGTTTTCAGTTTTATGGTATAAGTGTTGCAAGACATAATTGCCTTATCTGAGTGAGTATTGGTGCTAGATATACATAATATCAAATTGGTGATTAGAATCTTGACTTACTGGCTTTCTGGAAATTGTGAAACTGAAAATCTGATTAGGAATGCAAGAACTTCTCTTAGTAAAGATACTCACCTGCCTATTTGATACTCAGCTGTCACTGTCAAGTTGGAGAGTGATATGAAAATTAGTCCAATTAGGAGAAATTAACCTAGGGAAATAGTCAAGAAAGCTAAGGTTCACCTAATTAACTGTTTAATAATTAGCTATTTTAAAAGCCTTAAGCAGTTAAGTGATATAATTAATAGTTTACTGTGTTCTCTTCACCTGAACATCATGCAAGTTGAGATAGTATTCAACAAGCTGCTGATGTCACTGTAAACTTAATGGATTCAAGTAACTGTGGACTCATTTTCTCTTTTATTACTTTCCTTCTTTGCTGATGGAAATTTGTATACGTGCTCATTAGTGTCTACAGGTATTGCATATGACTTCAGCCACTGTAATTACCAAAGACCACATTTATGCCCACAGTTTTAAAATTTGGAATTCCATCCACTCAAATGCTAGGAAAAAAAGTGGGAGAAGTACAGAAAATATTCACGGTTTGACTTCTTAGTTTTTTGTATCTTGTAGTTCAGGAATCGTAATCAGATCACGGCTGCTCTGATCCCTGATGCTTTATTGTAGTCCTTATTCAGTGTCAAATGTTGTAAACTGCTAACAACCCTCAGTTCCCTCTGATGTAAGTACATACATAATGAAATTGGGCAATTAAGAGTGTGCACTGAATATTCTAATGATAAATGCTATTGGCTGCTAGGACCGAGGAAGGTAAAAAGGAGCTGAAGTATAATTTGAACCTGTTACTAGGTAGAATGGAAAAAGAAATTGTGGAAACATGTCAGTACCTCCTGTGGAAGGTGTGCATGATGATGAAGTGTTTTTCCATGTGTTAATAGTTGAGGAAGGTCTTTAATTCTCACTTGTCAAACACAATTTCTTTTAATTACTAGGCATGGGTATATGTGTCTGCTTTACTTGGTAGCTTTCTGAGTATTTAAAAATAAGGCTGTGTATTGGAAAAATAATATATTTTTTTTAAATGTTTCACATGTGAAGTAGGGTGATTTATGTAAGAATTTATGATGGGGTTGGGGAGAGTTAAGCTGAAGATGCATGTTCAGTCCTGAAGAAAATTAGGCTTAGGCTCATCTTTGTCTTATAGAAGATTTTCAGAATTCAGTACCCTGTGTTATACAGGTGTCCATCAGCAAAATATTTTTATTGATAAAGTAACCATTAATTTTTACTTGATCCAGTCCTGAGATCTTTCAGTTTCTGCTATTGGATATAGTTTCATTTTTTTTTTTTCAGTGGAATGTATAGAAAATTTGGAATATGCATCTGGAAATGGAACTTTCCACTCCCTGGAAAGCCAGTGTAAGGATCCACCATTGAGGTGGAAATGTTCAGGATGTCTCATACTGCCAAGCATGTCAGCTGCCAAGCTGTGTTAACAGCTTCAGCCGCTTTAGTGGGTGGACTTAATCCTTAGATGTAGCCCTAGAAGTATTAGCCGATAATTCTGGCTACCTCTGCAATAACAGTAACAATTTTTTTTATAAAGAAAATATTGCATGTATTTCTGTTTTCTTTCCCCAGCATCTTTGATGTGTATGGTTAATTTTGTCTGCAGTAATGCATACTTGTTAACCAGAAACCACAGTAAAAATACATAGACATCACTCACAGTAACGTGATTGAAGTATAATGCTTTTTGTCTCATCTACCAGTTTTAGGAAGAGTTAATTGGACTGAGGTTGGATGAGTGATCCTCTTTAAACTGGCTTACAAATTGTGGCAATAAGTACTCCTCCATATGTAAATTTAAAAACAAGAAACTTGAAAACAGTGAGTGAAATTAATCAGAATACTAGTTGTACTGGTTTTGGCTTGGATAGGTAATTTTCTTCATAGTATAGTGCTGCGGTTTAGATTTCTGACCAAAACAGGCAGACTATGCAGTATCGCTCTGTTTGTGGGTTGAATAAATTATGATACTCGAAATCACCCACGGTAGGTGGTCAGGTGTTCTGCAGCCATGCAAAATGAGTGTCACCTAGTGGAGAGTATAAAAATCCAGTTGTATCAGCAGGCACCAAAAACAGGACCTGGCAACTACAGGAAAGTCATAGGAGCGGATTTTTTTGGTGTTCATCGTTGATTCAATATAATTGCAAAAAAAGTAACATGAATTTCCAGGTACCTATATCTAGCTTTTGAGTGCAGAATGCATTATTTTGGTTTGGTACTGTTAAGCAAACTGTGTGTAAGAGCCCTGTTGTAATAATAGAGGTGGTTTCCTTGGCTATAGGAGCTGTCTACATTTGTACAGAAGATGTATTTCCAAGTAAACGTTTGCAACAACTCATAGATCAACAACATAAGCTGCGTGCAGATATTCCAGCTGAAATCATACAGAAGATCAAATTTGGAAACAGTATTTTTGTTGAGCATGCAGCAGACCTAGTAAGTAGTAGTGCAAATTAAGAATGCGTAATTATTACACTATAATCCAGTAACCACAGGGGGGTTTTGGTCCAGGAGACCATTCAAAAGACTAAGAGTGAACTAAGATCTGTAATGACTACTACTTAATCTCTTCAATTTGCTGTTAAAAGAACTGTCTGTTAAAGTGCTTTATTATGAAAGATATTAAAAGATAAATATTAATCTTTTTTTAGAATGAATCATGCAGTGGGTTTTTGTCAGTCATTATGTTTATTAAAATGTAGTAGACCTAATGGTACTGGTTTTACTGCAGCTCCTATGGAGATCTTCATTGAGTTTAGAGACAGGATATAAATATATGTGCAAGAGGTGGTGTGTATCCCAACTAACTTGCAGTGTAACACCAGAGTTGTTAAACTGCAATTTAAGCAGATGGGAGGAAAGGATACAAAAAATGATGTCCGGAATGTGTAATGGCACAGTATAACCTCACCAGTGCATCTGTCTTGCCCTTTTACTTGTAAGATGTCATAGTAGAACTGATGCGGAAAAGATACAAACTTCAGCACTGTATTCTTGCTTTGTAAACCCACATTTTAGTGCTTCTTCTTAAGTAGCCATGAATATGCTCTTTATTGATGGGACATCAGAAGTTCTATTTTCTCTAAGGCTTGAAAGTAGCACTTGTTAAATCATTCCAATAGTTGGGGATTTTTAGTTGTAGTTTGCAAGGATAAGATGTTGTACATTAGGATGCTTGCCATTTATTCAATGTGTGGTCCAGGCAGCAGCTAAGCTACCTTTTCCATGTCTCTTTCATTGGAAATATTATTTAAAGTTCTAATTGTAGTTTCTGGAAGCTACAGAGTATGTTATTGTAGAAAGGAAAGAATCACCCTATAGTAGTGTGTACATCTCTCTAAAATACCCTTAAAGGTAAAACACCACAGTCACTGCTAAGTCCAGCAACTGCACGATAGATTATTACCATTCACATATTGCTATGTATAGATTCACTTTGTGTGTATATGTGCATATCCATATACATAGAATGCATTGCTATATAGAGATAGGCAGATTACAGCAGCTGAAGTAGGAACCCAAATCACAATGACGTTCTGTATTTTCTTCCGCATCAAAAAATTTTTTACTTTCTTCATTCTGAAGAATCCAGTTGTTCGTGTATTCACTTGAAAAGAATCAATCTTGTTTGAACAGAAGGACCACATACAAACACTGAAGTGTTTGAAGTGCAACATAGTTTCCTGTAGATATACCACTAAGTGAAACAAAAAAAATCACTTTTTCAGAATGGAAGGCAGTCACATATTCTTTGGAGTAATTTTTTTTCCCTCGCTTTAAAAAAAAAAAAAAGCCCTTGATATTACAATATTACTTATTTTGTAAAAAGCAGTTTGTTTAGTAGAATAGATCTTACTGTAATTCAGACTTGAGAATTACAATTTAGTTTTAAAAGCTGTGGAATGCATATAAGCTCTTAGCGATACATCTAAATAGAGGTTCAAAGAGTGGCACCAATCCAAAGAACTGTGACTGTCACATTATTGTTTTTTTTTTTTTGCCAACATGGAAATTTCTGATGGCCAGAAGCTGAGATTATCACTGTGAGCTTGTTCTGCTTTCTACTCTGCTGCTGTAGGCCACACTGTTAAAGACAGGATACTGGGCTACAAGGACCTTTCATCTGACTAATATGATTATTCTTATGTGATAGAATTTGCACCCTACAAAATATTTGTTAGTTAAACTTCCTGCAGTTGAAATATTTGGTGACTTCAAAATAATCGATTAGTAAAACTTTTAATAGGGAGCATATAAGTTGCAGCTACTCGTGTTTATAAGACTCTTGATCAATATGGATTTGATGTAGCAACTATGTATTTTACTGTTAATTAGTCAGTGGAACATCAGCGTAGTCTCTAACTTCTGTTTTGAATATTTATTGCTGGTCTCGAGTGCTCAGCGTTTCAGTGAGAACCACTTCGGCAAGACAGAAATGGTTGAGGATTTAGTATTGCATTCTGATTTTGAAATGTTTAAGTCAGAGCTGCAGATAACTGTACATTGCAGTTTGGTTTTTGTTTTTTTTCTTAAGGTAAAACCACAAGACATTTTGAAAAATGGTTACCAGTGAGATTTAAAGATCCACAAACTCTGATTAGAAACTCCATCAGCTCCTATTTCAGTGATGATATTTGTAGTTACTATCTTGATTTTACAAATAGTTATTTGAACTGTTTTAATGCCGACTGTTTGTATTTTGTGGTAGGATACCTTTCACAACTGCGTTACTAAAAGGATTTCCCTACTGCTCACGAGAGGCATGGTGCGGTTGGTGGTCATAGACTCTATTGCTGCTTTGTTTCGATGTGAATTTGGAGTTTCAGATTCTGTTATGAAGGCTCGGTATTTGCAGACATTCGGAGCACAGCTTCACAGTTTAAGCACTAGATTCAGGACTCCAATAATGTGCATTAATCAGGTATGATATCAAAATTGCTTCTCATTTTATAGGGAACATTTAATAAATGGCTGGGACAGGGCGGGAGGAATCTGTGCAGATTTCTTGGTGTTGTATTTAACACTGTCAACTGAGCATTAATGACTGATGGAAACTGAAGCTTCCTTAAACTGATGTACTTTAAACTAGTAAATTTTATCTTCTTGAAGTTTAGGAATATCATTTAAGACTGTTAATGTTCTGTTAAAGCTAACGAAAATAGATATGTATAGCAGCTGCAGGAAGCATCAAATGAAAATAACAGAGTTCTTTCTTAACACTAGCTTCAAATGCCATCGCCAGCAGGATTGCTTTGGGAGCTCTGCATGCACGGTTATATTCCACATCTACAGGAGACAGTGAAACACTAGGGACTTCCCTGCATTTTTGCGTAGCTCAGCATTTTCGTGTAACTGCTGAGATTACTAAAGCATTAGAATGCACGCGAGCTGACTCAAGCGAACCAGAAAGAGGCCACAATGATACTAGTTAAAAAGAATATTCTTTTGAGAAAACTAGCCAAGACACTACTTGTATCCTATAGAAGCAGCATGCCACTGCTCTTAGCCTAATTGCAAATTGAAGGAGTGCATGAATGCTGGAGATGAAGCATTCACCCTTGGAATGCGGCCTCAGAAAGGGGTAAGTAAATGTGCAGGCAGGCCACTGTTGGGAAACTTCCTTTCCGGAGGGCCCTTTTGTCAAATGAAGAAGTGCTCAGCCCTGAGATTTCCTTCTCACAGCAGAAGAAAAGGGGTAGGAAGAAAAGTTGAACTTGAGAAGTCGCAAACAAGAGGAAGAAAGAGGTTCTAGAGACATCAAGTCAACTGTTACTTGTTTGATTTGTTTCTGTTCCCTAGGAGGAGTTCTGGAACTACAGAATTTGCTACATTTGCTACCATAACTGTAAGAGACTGTATTGGAATTCATCCATAGCAATAATCTGAACAGCTTTCAGGCATGCACAGTGTTTTTATTTTTAGTAAGATTCCCATTAACATTCAGTAGGATTTAAATTTCAGCCTTGAGTTGCTCCTAGTTTTTTTAACCAACTTTTTCTTACATAGTTTTTCATAGGGTCAGCTAGCTTTTAAGGAAAACTGAGATTTCCTGTAACTGCTTTCTGAATTTTGGTATTAGTAGAGACAGTTTGTTCTCCTTGGGAAGCATGGTTTGGATTTTGCTCTTTGTTAAGCAAAGGTTTGTGTGTTTCGGCATTTACGCTATGAAGCCAACCAACAGATTCAAGTTCCTTGGCTAGCTTCTGGGATACCCATCTAGCAGGCAAAAGAAGATGTGATTTAGGGGTAGGCAAGTCTAGATGTATCCAGTCTCTACATTGGAACAGTTCAGTATGAGAGGGAAAAGAGTGATTTAAGACAGCTTAGATCTGCCTTCCCATGACGGGAGTTTTATGTTGGTGGTGGCTCAACAGATGAGGTCACTGCCTCATGCTGAATGACAACAGTCTGACCATTTGCTAACCAAGGGTCCTTCAGGACTGTATTCTAAAGGAGAGTGACTCATTACATCAAGTTTGTAGATACAGAAATAAACTGTGAATATAGTAACACTGGGGAAGATTATGGCTGTAAAGTAATCCATTCTGTACATTACATTTAGAGAAGTACCTATAACTTAATTTGCTGTACTTTGTGAAGAACTTGTGTGGAAGAATCATGGCATTAAAAGACAACAGAGGGAGTCAAGAGGTGTGGATTTTTCTAGGTTGTAGTCAAAGGCGAACTGCTCTATTAAGCAGGCCTTCAAAGGTAGTGAGTCATTGAGAACAGGACACCCTTGGACATTGGGGCTTCGGTACCTTTTATTTACAGCTACAGCATTAGAACCATTTGGGGGGGTAGTGTTTGCCTGGTTTGGTTTGGTTTGGGTTTTTTTTTAAAAAAAAAAAATTAAGCATTTAGTAGTACTTAAATTCATATAAGCTGTACCTAGCTAAATAGTTGTAGCACTATAAACTAAGATTATACTTCACAACTCCCTTTTAGTTTGCCTTGAAAGAACCAGGGTTTTCTAACTTGGCTTAATATGTGATCCAATAACTTGGATTTTCTTGGCTTTGTTCCCTTCCCTGCCCTTCTGCTTGCTAAAAACAAATGCGTAGCTACAGGTCAACTTTAAATGTCATTTTTCTGCTTTAGGTGACCGATGCAGTGAGCGAGTCGGAAGCCGCTCAGTGCGGTTGTAGGTAAGTCAGTCATCCGCAACAGAAGTGTAACAATGTCATACACAGCAGCATTTAATGACTGTATTTCTTTATAACTCCGATATAAACTACCAGAGGGTGTTAAGAGCAGTAGTGCATTTCCCCAGCAATGCTGAATTTGCTGGAGATCAGCAATAACGAATGTGCTGTAAAATGGGAGAAACTGTCATATATACTTACGTGGTAATCCCTAATCAGCAAGTTCGGGGGAAGAATTGTCTGGAGTTAATGGTTGGTGTACTTGCTTACACAAGAGTATCTTTGCATCTTTTCTTGTCTCTGATATAACTGAGTGCATTTTCTATCTGCCTAAAAAAATACAGCAACCAAACCTGATTGGTTGGTTTTCTTAGTTGCTTAAGAAAAAAAAAAAGAGTATCTTTTGATACCAAAATATTAACAGGATTCAAACATACATATTTGTTCTTTGAATCCTAACTACAATCCTGATTTACTAGATAAGCTTGGTGCTACATAAATGTGTTTTTACAAGAAGTTAATTATGTCTTCCAGATTCAGAAACTGACACGGAACAAGGATATGGTTAATTTTATTGCCCATTTCCCGACCCCCCCCACCCCACCCCCCTCAGTTATCTTGTAATTCTTTTACTGGAGAGAGAGCACTTTTTTAAAACTTCAGGTTGAAAGTAATACATATGCAGTGTTATATCTACCCAACATTTCTAAATATACTTTTGAATAGAATCCAGGGCCAACATTTAGACACTTCAAATACTTAAAGTTCAACCATTTTTCTATGGCTATTTTCCTGTCACAAGAGGTAGGTATTCACCTTGCCTATAATTGGAAGAATGACTGAATTATTCTGTGTAGAAGCACTTCTCTTCCAGTTGTTGGCCTTGCTATAGAGAGAACCTAGCGTATAGTTTTGTGAGTATACCCTGTAATCTCTGTCTTCAAAGACCTATAGTTTTAAATATAGCAAACAACAGTAAATATAGAAACAATAGATCATTTCTTTCAATGTGATATGGTTACAATGGAAGTGAAGATATCTCACATTAAATTCATACATGCCAAAAAATCTGTAATGCTCTCTTTATAGTGTAGCGGATAACAGAGTCTTGCCAGCACTTGGCATAACCTGGGCAAATCAACTTCTAATGAGACTGATGGTCAGCCGAATATCACAACCGGAACAGTCATCTGGAGTTGCGTCACACCACCCTGGAAGTGTGAGGACTTTAAGAGTAGTTTTTGCTCCTCATCTCCCTCCATCCTCTTGCTACTATACGGTAAAACTGGAAGGTGTAAAAGGAATCAAATAAATCCTTTGCATAGTAAAGGATCCTACTCCAAAAATGTATCGAAACTACTTTGCTTCAGGAAGAATTAATTACTAATAAAATTAAATTCTTCCTAGATGAGAGAAATGGATGCAGAAATACATAAACAGGGATATGACTACATTAAGCCTTGTCTACATTGTGAAAGAAGATCTTTTTATACTTGGATATATGTTCATCAGCTTTTCCTTGTGAGATAAGTATTCTGAAGGGCAGTAAAGCTGTGGGTGAGTGAAGGCTGCACAATGAGGTGTGATGTGGCAATCCCCATGTTGGGGGAGACCTGATTTCTAATTTTAATAGCATGCTAATCTACAACCAGCATTTACTGCAATTGTGTACCTTCTCTGTTTCTAGACCCAAAGGGACTCATATTCAACCAGTTAATAATGCCTGCCGGTCTTCCTGGGCCTCATGCTGCCATTAAATACAGCCATTCTTCTATCTGTAGGGCCTCAGAAATAACGCTAAGCGGCTTTGTCACAAAACAGCTATCCTATTTTAAAACCACTTGTTATCAATATTAGGATTTAAAAAAAAAAACCCACCCAGAAAGATACTTGATTTTAACGTCTTCCTGTAAGAATTCAAATTGTGCTGCTTTTTTACTCTATGGGTATATCTAGCTTCATAGACCTTCTACAGATTATTTTTTGGGGGGGGGAGGCGGGGAAATGGTTCTTTTTCACTCTTTTCCTGCTTTCCAGTTCTTTCCCCTCATAGCAAAAGCCTGGTTTTAGCCTCTTCCATTTAAAAATAACAAACCACACACCTCCACCCCCTTCTTCTGTTTGCCTAAGGCAGAAGCTGTGTAACCAGGTAGTTCCAGAGCAAGGGCCCTGTTCATGTTCTTCCCGATACTCTGCACAGTGCTGTGTTTTGTTGGATCTGGGGAGCATTCTTGATCAGCTTCTGGATTGCTACCTCTAGTCTCTTCTGCCCTTTCCGCTAGGCTCTTAGCTAAACTGTGCTGCTGAAGGGCATCTTTAGCTGTCTACATCCATCCGTAGAGCTATTACTCTTCTCAGGTTTGTGTTGTTAGAGCTTTACATATTTTTCTTTCCATCTTTGCATTATTTATCACATCTTTTTCTGTTATCCTCAGACTACTGCTATGACATCTGCTTTTTCTAGTCATTGCTGAATTCAGTGTGAAAGAAAACCAGATGAAGTCACTCATGGACATTTTTCCAAAGGCCTTAGTCATCTTTGGCCTATGTCACATGGGTGCCTGCTGTTACCGGTGTATGATGCTCACTTATAGCGCATACTTGTTAAGCTTTCAGCTTTCCCCCATCTTCTACCTGCTTCCCCAGGCTGCCCAAACAAAAGCAGCGTCCGACTTGTTCCAGAGTCATAGTTTTTTCTGTGTAGTTACGTTGCTGAGTTCTGTCTGGCAAATGAAAGCCTTTTGTTCTCCAAAGTCTAAACAATAAAAAAAAAATCTCTTCAGGCTTAAGGACTGAGCTGGTTCTGTATTCATAAAGCTTTTAGTGTGAGCTTCCAGTCCATGGTTAAATCTTTAGCATGTTCCACAAATCCAAGTTCAGAGGAATGACTGCCACTTGGTAAAAGCCAAGTGTAGACACATTCTGTTTGTGTTCTTCAGGTACGCTGTAGCAGTGAAACAGCCACCTCTGCTACCTTTCCCCTGTCCCCCCCAGCAATACTCTTTTAAGGACACAGCAGCCATCCTTTCTTGTGGAAGGGTGCAGCAGGGTAGCAGAAAGGCCACGTTTTGTCTAGCAGTACATGGGGTCTGCTGGCACTCTCTGGCCCAAGACTTCTCAGAGGACAACTGAGTATGATGGAAGGAAAAAAGACCCAGGAGACAGGGACTGTGCAACTGCCTCAGGGAAGCCATTGAGGAGAACAGGCATGGTCACACCTTGAAGCTGGATGAAGGGAACTCTGTGCAAGCAGAAAGAAGGATGAGTTGCTTTCAGTGCCTTCTGCGATCCCTTTGGTCATCAAAGGGGAGCTTGTACAAATAGCCTAAGTCTCTTTTCTAAAAATGTCTTAATCATCTGTATTTGAAAATGGTGTTCTGTAATAAAGTCTAACAATGAATCTTAGAAGTCTTTGTGTACTCAATCTAAGGAAAAAGTGAGAGTACTATAGCTCAGAGCCATGGCTACCTCAGTCTTCAAATCCTTATGTTCTATACCTCCTTCCTAACCATTTTAATAAACTAATACAGCATAGGTAACACTCAAATCATTCTCTTCCATTCCTGGCCTGTTTATCTAGGACAGGAACTTTACCTGATATATTGCTCATCCTATTGTAAAAATTTTTTAAAAAAGCCAGACATGTAGCTGATTAATGGGAGTCACTCAACTCCTACCCAGACACTCATTTGCAAAAGAGCCAGTCCCAGGAGCGTGCCTCCCTGTGAACCATGTTCAGAACAGTCTGATACACAGCTTAAGGCTCAGTTTGGTAATATTTTGATAGTTCTTTTTACAACACGGCTGCTTCCAGGAATGAGACACAAGAGTCACAGGTAGCTCTATAACCAAACTCCCAATTTACTTGAAAAAACACTTTTACCAGCAGATTTAGGTAACATCTTACCTGAGCAAGTCTTCCTGTCATTGTCCATGTTGGTTCTTTCTTACTTAACTCTCCAGCTGGAGGCTTAAATCCGAGTCAGAGGATCTTACAGTCTGTTTCCTAGCTCATCATGACACCGAAACCCACCCTGAACCTCTAAGATGCAACTGACCCCCAAGCTTACAGGCAGCAGTCAATCAATGACTCGCAGCAGCTGAATGTTTATCTGCAGCTTCTACACTCCTTTCTTCAGTTACATCCGCAGTCGGAAAGCTGGAGGGTTGTTCAGCTGACATGAGTACAGCTTCGGGGGCACAAACCCTCATGAAGACCAAACAAAGCAGCTGCCCTCTCTGAAGCCTTGTGGCAAAAGTGTTCGACACATGCTCCAGTTTTAATAAATGCAATTTAAGAACCTTCCCTTTATACAGCTTTATTCATCTTTGGATTTCACAACTGAGCTTTGTTTCTATACAGGAAGAAATTGAAGTAATTTTTAGAAAGATTTACATTCTAGAATGTCTTAAGTATATCATCTTTCTCCTGTAAGACTACATTTAAATATTTTTCTGCACTTTGAAAAGAAACATTAGATGACACTTGAGAAAGTTTTAAACTGTTTCAAATTAACGTACAGATCTGTGATGTATTTAAAGAGGCCTTTCTCAGAAGGAAAAATCATATAGGGTTATGGAAACATTGCTTTGGAAAAGCAGAACCAAATTAATTTGTGCTTGGTAAAAAAAGAATTTACACAACTGACTTATTAACGAAACAGATGTAAAACACACCATAAACAATCTCATTACAAGTTTCTTGATGAAATCACAGCCAATTACTAGTATTTGTTACAAATAGCATTTGTGGAAGTTTATTTTCAACAAAGTTTTATGGGGTAACAGAAACAGGTAAACTGAGTAGGATTTCATCCATAGCTGTGACAAGCAGTAACTATAACACAGCTTAAAATGCAGCATCTTAAAGCCAATCTTGGAAGGTTTGTTGGTTTTGGGGGTTTTTTGTGGTTTTTTTTTGTTTTTTGTTTTTTTTAATCAAACATAAAATTCACCTATTAGGGTAGGGGCAGGGCAAGTTCTCCTCAAGAAGGATACACTGACATTACAAATGGTTTTCTGGTCTTGCTGTTGTTGGGTTTGGGTTTTTGTTTTTTTGTTTTTTTAAACCAAGTCCTAGAAAACAGAAAATACAATTCCTGATTGCATAGAACTCATCTCGCTTAATTATACTGTAACCTACCCCCACTACTGTATAATTTAAAGACTCAGTAACTTTACGTGCTTGAATTGTGACTTGCCTATAAATACAGGGAGCCTACGGATTGATCTGGTTTTAAAAACTACTTCACTAGGCTTGTTCCACGCTGTATACAATTGTTGGTCTCTCGCTCGTGTGCCAGCACAACCCTTAGAGCAGCTTCGAGCTTTCTGATGTAGCTGGAACGTTAACTGCACTTCCAACTGTGGTTCTCTAAATATTTATTTAAAAGCAGCCAAAACTAATGAACAATTTTGCAACTTCAATATGAGCATAAGCATCTTCTGAACAGCTCAGGTCTTTTGACCTCTATCAGATGGTGGCACTCTGTTTCACCTTCTGCTTGCTTGTTGCCGGCTTTTTTTTTTTTTTTTTTGGGGGGGGGGGGGGGGGGGTGGGGGGT